ATCAATACTATTATTGCTATGATGGACTCCAATCCCATGAGTAAAGTTCTCTCTTTAACACTCACCAAAAAAAAAAAAAATTCAAACCATTAATAATCTAAAAAGAAAAGAATACACAAATTTTAAATAGATAAAGTTACAAAATACTTGTAAAAGAATAACCATTATATGTTCTATAAAAAATTCATAAAAAAGAATAATAAGACTAATAAGGAATATGGTTGATACAACAATATACATATTTTGGATAAATAGGAAAAAGACATATAAAATAAAAACATAATATTATATTTAATTACAATATGAAATAGGAAACAAAAAGAAAAATAATATTTGGAACTTGTTATGTTAGCAAAAAGAAATTAAAGAAGTGAAGAGGAAAATATGACATCTTGGCATAGAGAAAAGTGAGGGTTTACATTGTTGACAACCACTAAAATTTTCAAAATTATGAAAATGATGAAAAATTAAGTGTGAAAAATGTAAGAAGAAGTTTGAAACTTGCCCAAATTATAAGGTGGAATAAGTTACCAAAAACACGGTCTATACCAATATCAAGACCTAGAGGTATGGTTAGCAGTGAAAAAGAACATATGTGCATCTCACAATCCTCCATATAAACATGATTGCATACTTTAACATTTGAGATTTATTCAACTTATTTATTATTGTTATTATATGATTAAATAGACTTATAAGTAAATAGATGAAATTGCAATGTTTGAAAACCTTTGAACTCAATTCAAACAAAATAAGAAAAAAGCAGCCACAATCACAACAAATTAAAAAAAATTAAGGGACTAATTTGAAGAAATCCCAGAAATGGAAGACTGATTTGAAACAATTCAAAACTTCTGGACTAAATTGCTCGATCTTGAAAAGTTTTATGGAAAATTTAGAATTTAATAAAAGACAAGTCTGACTTTCAAAATGTTGACTGTAATTAAGCAAATTAAACAAGATTAAGACTAATTAACCAAAATAATTGATTTAATCAAATAATTAAACTAATCTAAATATCTTAATTAAGGCTAATCAATATAATCAATTAATTTTAATTACAATTAATCAAATCATTTATCACCGTTTAAATCAATTATTAAGATTTTTTTTTTTTTTTTTTTTATGTTTGTATCCCTTTTTGGGTCAAGCCACATGATTAATGAGCCTTTATCCATTTTAATTCTACTTCAATCCATAATTCATAAACTTAATGACCCGATCTAGAAACATAACCCGTATACTTCAATACGTAAAACAAAAGCAAATCAAAACCTATGCTAAAATGAGGGACGTAGGGTTTATTCCAATAAAACAATCTGCTACCAAAACAAAGAAAGAAATAAATCCAGCACCGATTTTTTTTTTTTTCCTAATTTTAACAGCAGAACAGAACCAAGCCAGCAATTGCGTGAAATGTTCATTATATTCCCCTCAATCTATATCATTTCCACACAAGAACAATAGCAACAATTCCACTAAACAAGAAAATGGCAGAGTTTTTGGGTAGCCAATCAAAGTCCGATCTGTGTACCCTGCCCACGGGATATGCCCTGATCATTCCCCTCACTACTACCCAAAAATTCCTCTGTTTGAGAGTATACCCAACCGGAGACGGAGCAACAAATGACTCTGTGGCTGCTGTGAGGCGGAGAAGAGTGGAGGTACGCCCTGGTCCCAGCCAAGCAGATCTGAGATGGAGTTTCTAAGGACGATGTGCTGCTATGAGGCGGAGATGAAGACTGCAGGTCCGTCTCACCTTTGTGTTTACCCAAGAAAGATGTGCTGTACCCGAAAACCATAAGAAGAACCACCTGAGCTCCGGTGATGGAGAAGGAAAAAGAAACGGTTCCGAAGATGAAAAGGTTTTATTTTTTTTCTTTGAGGCTATGGGCGATGATATCGATAACCGGAGGCGCAAAAGGAGATGGCTGCCGTGATGGGTATCGGAAAATCGTCCTGGTGGCTGTGAAATCGTGTTCTTGGGGCCACAAAAACTAGTTTTATCCTTTTATCTTGAATTTGTAGATTTTAAATTTATTTTATATTATAATATTTTTAATTCTTCAACTATTATAATTAAAAAAATAATTTTTATTTATAATATTATATTTATTTTATTAATTAAAA